GATAAATGATATGTCATCGGCAACTACCCGATCGGCTATCATTTATGGATTTAACTGCGGTTTTCTTGTCTTTCTTTCTTGTTGATTGCATGATCAAATCAACTGGCACGCTCACGAACCTAAAAGCAAGATTTTGGATCTGCACTGAAGTTAAGCAGATCTTCCAGGCCAGTGTGCGTTTTTCGCATTAATACGCCATTGACTTTTTTAAACATGTTTGATCGTTCGTCTTATTCAACAACTTTTTTTGTGAAATATGTAAACTATATGTATAAAAAAAGTATACTTCATTTAACAATAAATCAAATGATAGGAAAAGAAATAATAATTACTTATTTTTTTTAATAAGACGAATGGTCAAACATGTTTTAAAAGTCAACGGCGTCGAATATTTAGGGATGGAGGGAGTATTATCATAATGTAAAGTGCGCGTGTCATAAATTGGGTGATTTTTATACGTGCAAGTTTAATAAAGGAAAAAGTACACCGAAGGTCCCTCAACTTGTCATCGAGTTAAAAAATCGTCCTCGAACCGCAAAAACAGATATAACGCATCCCTCAACTTATAAAATCAGTGCAAACTAGATCCCTCGGCGTGGCAGTTGAGTCAGCGTGGGACCCACGTGGGTCCCACATGTCAGTCTCTTCTTCCCCTCCCCTCTCCACCTCTCTTCCTCTCTCCTCTTCTTTTCTCTCACTTTTCTCCTCAGTTGGGCAGCACAGCCGGCGGTGGGGGAGGCGGGAGTCCGGCGGTGGCGGTGACGAGGCGGCAGCGGCGGGCGATGAGGCGACGACGCTGGAGAAGGGAGACGCCTGCATCCGCCGCCTCGCCTTCGCCTCCCAGCCCCGTGGGTCTCCTCGACTCCTCTGCCTGCCGAATCCACCAACCGTGGCCTCTCTGAGCTCGTCGGCCGCCTGCACCGCAGCGGGGTTCCTTCCCAAGAACCTCCTCTCCATCCGCTCCCTCACCATGGTCTCCCGCCGACAACGACGACACCTCCCAACCGGCGATCGAGACCAGCAGAGGCACGGGCGAAGTGGGTTCCCATGGCGCCATGATGGCGGGGAGCAGCGAGAACGAGTACTATTGCTTCTTCGCTTGGTCCATTTCACTGCGCGTGGGCGGCGGGCGGCGGGGAGCAGCTGGGCGCGGGCGGCGGGGGGAGGAGCGGCGCGACGCCACGGATGCTGCCCTACGGCGCTGCCAGTGCTAGCGTGCAGCGGCACAACATGACACTTGCTGCTCGCTGCTTTCTTTTCTCTTCTCCTTCGTTTTCTTTTCATTCTTTCATCTTTCCCGTGATGGCGCCGTTTGCGATGGCCGATGGATACGACTGCCGCGGCCTGGCAGCCGATGGTGGCGCCGCGGGGCAGGCGTGGCGCGGTTCGACAGGCCGAGCACCGACGTGGTCAGCGGCAGGGAGCGATTGCGAGGCGCGGTGGGGCAAGTGGCCGTCGGGGAGAGGTCGTGCGACAGTGCAGACGCTGGTGTGCATTGGCTGATTGGCACAGCACGACGCTACTGCTTGTCATTTCCTAGCTTTTTTCTGTTCTTCCACTATTTCCTCGTTCTTCCTCTGGCGACGCGGTGCAAGCAGCGTGACCTTGGCGCAGGCTCATCGCTATGGTGCGGCCCGCCGGCCTCAGCACGAGCTCATCGTCGTGGCACGGCCTCCCCCATCGCCTGTGCCCAGCTGCTTCCCGCCCGCCGCCCGCACGCCCGCGCGCAGCTCCTCCCATCGCCGCCTGCGCCCAGCCACTCCCCCGCCGGACGCCGCCTGCACCCGACGGATCCTCCGTCGCCGCTGGTGGAGAGGAGACGAAAGAGGAAGAGAGGTGGAGAGGGAGGGGAAGAAGAGGCTGACGTGTGGGGCCACGTGGGTTCCACGCTGAGTCAGCTGTCACATCGGACAAAACCAGAGCCAAAACCGTCGAGGGACCTAGTTTGCAGTGGTTTTGTAAGTTGGGGGATGCGTTGTATACGGTTTTACGGTTCAAGAATGATTTTGTAACTCGATGACAAGTTAAGGGACCTTCGGTGTACTTTTTCCTTTAATAAAATGGGCCTTCCAACGTTGGCCCAAATATACCTAAGGCCCGATCCGGCTCGGGCGCTGAGTGCATAGTACGAATTCGAATCCCGCGCGCATAATAATAGGACGTAACTACACAGCTAGTGGTAGCTACTAGCTACCACTCCATCTATAAGAGGCACCATCCACCTATACCTCAAATATAATTTTCTCTTAAACTACTCGTCCGATCTACGATCCGATTGCACCGTTATGTTCGTAACAATTAAATCTTTGCAACAAGATCTCACATGATTATATTTTGATGAAAAATCACAAATTACTTTTATGATATGTCTAAATTACTTTTAGATTTCACTAAGTTACTTCTTATATATATAAAAGTAAATTCAGTAAAACCTAAAAGTAATTTACATATATTATGGAAGTAACTTAGAACAAAACGAAGGTAAGTTTGGCATGTCATCTTGAAGTAAATCCGTTGTAGAGATAAAAACATGACTCTATCTAGAAATTAAATTAATCAGCACAAATTATAGAATTAACTAAAATAATAATAAAAGTAATCACCTCGTAGCATTATGAATGTATAGGAAGTATTTTAATCAAATCTAAAAGTAACTTTTATATATATATATATATATATATATATATATATATATATGATAATTTGTTCAATGAAAAAAGGCATTAATTAAAGTTACTTTATTTTTCTTTTTTTATAAGTTACTTTCTTTTTGTTATAAGTTACTTCTATAATATATGTAAATTACTTTTAGACTTTACTGAATTTACTTTTATATGTCTAAGAAGTAACTTAGTGAAATCTAAAAGTAATTTAGACATATCATAAAAGTAATTTGTGATTTTTCATTAAAATATAATAATGTGAGATCTTGTTGTAAAGATTTAATTATTACAAACACAACGGCGTAATCGGATTGTAAATCGGATGAGTAATTTAAGAGAAAATTTTATTTGAAACATAGATGATAGAAATATTTCCCCTACTTGCTCAATGGATTAAGTACTATCACGTGGTGGATGTCTCTAGTTAAGACTAATTGAAGAGACCTCTCCAATTAAATTTACCGATAATAATACCTTCCCTCGTCACCTCGGCGACGACGATGAGGATGAATCATCACACGTAGTTGTTGACATCGACGAAATGATCTTCGAAATGGGGGCTCGTTCGATCTATGGCTTGATTGCCGCTGTCCGTGCGTGCTAGCATGGGTTGTTCGGAGCACATGGCCGTGGAGCACCTATATATGCTGCACGCACTCTGTGATCTGACGGCAATATTGAAGAAGAGTACAACAACAAATACTGGATCAAGAACTGGAATGATCGAGGCATTATTTGATCGTGCTGGGGAAGCCGCGAAGAACCCTAGGCACGCAGATCTGGCAGTTTTTCTCTCTTCGTTGGCGCCCGAGAAAGTGGAGAGATTGACATCCTTATTCACCACAGTTGTGTTGGTTGTGTATATAGAGGTCGGATTAATGAAAATCTATTATCTAAAAAAATGGTTACGTGATGCTTGATGGAAATCTTGAGGCTATCTACACATTGTTGTCTATTGTGCCAGCTTCAAATTCATCAGCAGCCGACGATGTATCAGCAGCGGCGGCAGCAGCAGGGAGAGAAACCCGACTCTTTTGCCAGGGGAGGATTCTGCAAGAAAAGCTGAAAAAACTGTTGCAGAAATACGCAGATCAACATTGCTGGGTAATGTGCATTCTAAATTACTGTAGAGAGAGTTCAATTATGACTTTTTTTCTCTCAACTCTCTAAGGCCATCCCCAACCCAGAAACCATCTACTAGTTTTCATACTTGCCATATCATATAGATACTATGCATAGAAACTATATATTCAATAGATGGTGTCTTCAAATTAAATTATCATCCGATCATCTATATTCTCTCTTTTTATTCACCTATCATTTTGTTTTCATTCTTGGTTATTGTGTAGAGATGGTTTCTTACATGAGAAATGGTTTCTTCATCTTTTTACATCTCTCCTCATTAACTCTCTTGCCACATCACATTTTTTATGTGGCAATGTATTAAATGCTATGGACACTAGAAGACATGGAGGGTTGGGATGGCCTAATCATATTGCCCGCCTTAATTAAATTGCAACTGACCATTTTAATTGCAGGAACCAATATACGAGCTAGACGTCATCTGTTGGGTGAAGAAAGAAAATGTATCTCCTGCGTGCTACCACATCAATTTCTTGGCTTCCCCATGCGATTCAACCACATCGACGCCTGCACGCATGCTTTTCTTTGCTGAAATCTGGGGGTTAAATTCTTCAACCAAAGCAATCTGATGATGAATTCTGCTGCCCACTACCTGATTATAACACATACCTTACATATCTAGGTGTGTTTACAATTAATTAATTGAACTTCTTCTCCCTTAATTTTCGTTTAGTCAACTGTGTCAATTTGTTAATTAAGTTATGACAGATGCTTTAATTAACTTTGTTTTGCTCATATGCAGGGCGATGCTATTTGTATGAGCCTGATTTGAGCAGGATTGTCCACCCACCATCTGGAAATCATCAGGGTGCTGATTGCGCCAAAATTGAAGGCCTATTGGGGACTACTACATGTGTGAACCTCCAAGAACACTTCATCGTCGTCCTGTCGTTGACACCTTCATGCGACTTTAATTTAGGGTTGCTAGCTGAAAAAAATGTGCCGTAGATTGCTTTTATATTAGGCCCCTGTTGTTCTAGCCAGTTGATGTCTTTGCCCAATCGATTTCTGTAATTGCTCTCTGATATTTCCATCCTAATAATTACTACCTCATTTTTGGATAAAAGTTTGATATTTTTTATGTAACAGTGAATATATTCCCATATATTATGAAGTATTTGTTTTGTATTAAAAAATGTTTCCATATGTTTTTATAAATTTGACCAAGAAAAAGGCGTATAATATGAAAACGGGGCAAGATTTTTCCCACACGTACAGTGCATTTCTAGATCAACTATATTAATCATCATACCATATTTTTTGCTGGTTCATACTCGACAGTACTACATAGAGAAATAGAGAAATAACAAGAGCGATACACCAACACAAAGCGTACAATAATACAGCTGATGAAAACTTGAAAAGTATGCGTACTACGCATGCATTAAACCATCCTCCCCTCGTTCATCTCCGCCGCCGCCGCCACCGCCTCCGCCACGCCCTTCCCGCCGCCGCCGCCGCGCCTGGCCGCGTTCCGCGCCGCGGCGGCCGCCACTCTGTCGGCGTCCTCCCTGGTGGCCACCATGTCCGCCGGGAGCGCCTCCGCGGCGCCGCCCACCACGTCCTTCATCAGCGTCGTCGTGGTGGCCTTGTTCTCCCCGTCGTCACCGTCGGGGCGGCGCCTCATGTTCGCCTCGGCGGCCTGCTGCGCCGCGGCCGCGACGCCGCCGGGGACGACGCCGGCCAGCCCCGTGGTGCGCATCTCGGCGGCCTGCACCGCCGCGGCGTCGGCGAGGCCGACGGGCTCGTTGTCGTCGGATCCCGCCGCCTGCAGCGCCTCGCCGATGGTGACCGCGTCGGTGGTTTCCTCCTCCGCGCTCGGCACAGGCACGGTGAACTGCGCCATCACCTGCCCGCCGGCGGTGGCGGTGACGACGCGCTTGCCGGCGGCGGGGAGGTCGGCCTCGGTGACACGGAGGTCGCCGCCGCCGCCACCTTGGTCGGCGGCGACAGCCTTGTCGCGTTCGCGGCGAGCCTGGTGGTGATCGGCGGCGGAGGGCGGGTAGACGTCGCCGGGGCGGATGGGCTGCGCTTGGGCGTCGCTCATGGCGGCGTACGAGTCGTCGACTAGCTTGGTGTGTTGGCGTGTGATCGAGCTAGCTGAAACTGAAATATATATACACGCGAAGCATAAATAATGTCATTAAGTAGTAATTAAAATGGTTACGACACGTCGCGTGAGACGAGAAGACGGTAGAGCGGCAAGAGTTGGCTGAACCTGACACGATACTTCTAAAGCATGCATGTCAACACTTGTCCAAGTTATACTCCTCCTGGAGAAACCTAACTGGGCTCCTTTCAATGGGAGTTACGGGATTCTGTTTACGCTGTGTTTGGGAAAAGGGGTTGGGAACTTGGGAACCCTCCTCTTCGACACGTAAAACAATATATGTATTAACGTATAATTAATTAAATATTAGTTATTTTTTAAAAAAATAGATTAATATTGTTTTTTAAAATAACTTTTATATAGAAAATTTTTATAAAAAACATACCGTTTAATAGTTTGAAAATATGTGTATAGAAAACAAGAGGGATGAGTTAGAAAAGTCACATCTCTAATACTCCCTTCATCCCAAAATACATTATAAGAACTTAGAATCGGATGGAACATTTTCTAGTACTATGAGTCTGAACAGACATCCGGTACTAAGTTTTTATATTTTAGAACAGAGGGAGTAGCTAATGCCTCGCGTTGCTTCTTATCTCTATTATCTATCCTGTTCCAACGACACATTATATTGTCCTATAGTTTTTTTTCTTTAAAGGATTAAAATTTCATTGAATTATTTTCTACTCAAGCTTTTGGTTGTAGAATTTGGTAGGAAAATTTTCAAGCGAATCTTTTTTTCCTTCACCTTTTTAGAGGATTTTCCGATACATTCTGCAAGGCAGCAACCCACCGATTGCATTGCGTACCATCTAAAAGAATACTCTGTTTAGTAGCATCGCTCTGTACAACACGGTGGGCCTCCCGTGCCATGTGGGCTACTTTACTTGGACCCAAGGCCCATTTAATTGCTGGAGTACTCCAAATGCTGATCATTGAAGACTGCAGTTTTTCTTTTCTTGGACTAAGGAGTAGTTTTTCACCCCTTGTCAAACAAAATATACTTCCTCTATAAAAAAAAACAAACCTTTGATGAGGATGGTACATCGCCTAGTAAGCATCTATAACTTTTAAAAACTATCCACAAATATTAGTATTTCTAGAGTACTATTTTCCCAATCCAGTGCACTCTTATATTAATTTCCTATATTTATTTATTACTCACTGGTAAGTATATCGTAACCATGAACTTCCAGTGATATCAAAGTAATTGGACCTTAACTTTTATCTATACTAAACTCTTTAAATACTTAGGGGCTATTCAGTTTGATACCATTTTCAACCATATCATTTTTTAGCGCAGTTGTCAAAAATGTGTCACGTTTAGTTTGTTGCCAAACTTTAACAAATACATAAGAAATTCTGCCAAAATTTTAGCAATATTACTAATTTGTCAAAATTTTAATAAAATTTATTTTGACTACAATCTGAACATACCCTTAAATTTGTGAATGGAGGAAGCAGCACGCTAGCTAGTCACAGATGTGCAGTACCTCGTACATTAATTGGATATTGTTGAGCATTAGCAAGGTGCAGTAAAATATACTAACAATATATACAAGATGATGATTAATACTAAAAAATGACATGCAAGATTGTGCTAGACTCGGTCTACGTGTACCCATATGAGACAAGCTAGCTAGAAAAGGAAATGCTTGATTGAACTCCAGATGATTCCAATTAAGTGCTGATTAATTATTAAGCTCTCTCTACACCTTTTTACTAGACAGAGAGTTATGCATGCCTAACTAAACACAAATTATATGTTTGTTGGAGGCTTCAAGCATGGCATCTCGAAGGCTTGGATGCCGTGCTTACGTACGTGCATTTACATAATTTTATACAAGTTACTCTAATCATTTTAATTAAGCACCAACCTATGCAACTAGCTTAGTGCTAGCTGCAGCTAAGTGCTAATCAGTACGTACATTTGGAGATTTGGAGTGTACTAACTAATTCTTCATAGGTCTCTACGTCACCCACATACATGTACTGTACTATGGCATTCTCATCATCATGCATATCTTTTCATACGTATAATTAGTTAATGCAAATTAACATCGATATGACTTATTCTATTTTGATATATATAATCAATATTTTTGTTACTTGGTTTTTCTAAAACTATTTTAAATATGACATGTACTTTTTATATATTTACATGAAGTTTTAAATAAAATAAATGATCAAAGTTAAAAAGTTAATTGCGTCCAATATTTATACATGATGGAGTACATTGCAATCGAGTAATCCATTCATCCTGAGTTTTGATTAAATGGGACAGATTTCAGCACTACGAATTTGAACAAACAACCTGTGTAGCTTTATAGTATTAAGACCTTATTTAGATGGGACTAAAACTTTTAAGTCCCTATCATATCGGATGTTTGAACACTAATTATAAATATTAAACGTAGACTATTAATAAAACACATATATAATCTTGGACTAATTTGCGAGATGGATCTATTGAACCTAATTAATACATGATTAGCCTATGTAATGTTACACTAAACATTCTCTAATTATTGATTAATTAGGCTTAAAAAAATTATCTCGCGAATTAGCTTTCATTTATGTAATTAGTTTTGTAAGTAGCCTATATTTAATACTCTAAATTAGTGTCTAAATACATTAAGTCCTTAGATCCAAACACCACCTAAGATACAGTATATCTTATCTAATTAAAAATCTTTTACTACCTCCGTCCCATAATAAGTGTAGCCATGAGTTTCCGCGCCTAACTTTGATCGTCCGTCTTATTTGAATTTTTTTTATAACTAGCATTTTTATTGTTATGAGATGATAAAATATGAATAGTACTTTAGTCGTAACTTATGTTTTTAATTTTTTTAAAAAAAATTTTAAATAAGACAAACGATCAAAGCTGGACGCGAAAAACCATGGCTATACTTATTTTGGGACGGATGAAGTAGTATATTTAGTACGGAATCGTAGCTGGCGATGAACGAAGAATCTGCAGATCAAATGGGCTTCCAGATCCTCGAACGCACCGTCCAAAGCTTTTGTCCCATCGACGTAGTACACGACTCAACTATCTCTGATTATGTGCCACCTAATCACTCTTCATTAACTGGATGAAATGCTATTAATGGATAACTACTGATCACCAGCCAGTAGTGAGTTAATTATACTTTGGTCCACATTTTATTACTAAAATTTGACTTTGTGCCACCCTCTAACTAATATTTTTATTTTAAACTAGGCAATATTACCTTTGTTACGGTTTAGACCACCCTAAGTTACTTTTCTAGTTGTATCTACCCTCTAATCTTGCGAAGAATAGTCTATATGTAAGTCGGGAAAATTATGGGTTTATGGGTGCCGATGCGGTTAAAGTCATCTATGTGCTCGAAAAAGTTTTGGGGTGGTTCAAAGTGAAACAAAGATAAATTAATCTAGTCCAAAGTGAAACGATGGTTTTAAAGATAGTCCAAAGTGAAACTTTGGTGATAAAAGGTGGCCCTAAATGCAAATTATCTCTATAGATATACATACACACTACGTATATATGTACTGTGAGCCAGCACTGGTGTCATGTCAGTACGCATGTCACGACTGGCATTTTCAATCTCTTCTAGTAGATCCTTTGTTTCGTCTCTTCATTCTCATCGATTCATCTACAATGATAAGCCGTGAAAAAATAACTAAGAAACCTAATTATTTATAGGGCTTTTCTATCTATATTTTTAAGTGATAAAAATAAATATTAAAAAAATAAACTATGATAAAAAATAAAGTTAAACTTTAATTGATAAATTAATAAACAAACGATGGAGCTGTAGTTTGTAAGGGAGAAAGGTTGCTTCAATGCCAATGGCACTTTGTCTCTCTCTGTGCATACAATTAGTTTCTTAGTTTGTAATACTCTCTTCGTCCCAAAATAGCGTCCCAAAATAGTTGTCACTTTAGAATTTAAATTTTATCCAAAAGTACTTGTTTCTTTGGAGCGCTTTTTGTCACATCAATCATTTTCTATTCTACCTCTAACTGCCTTCTCACTCTCATTTATATACTATTTAATAGAATATAATGTATTATAGTCTTTTTTTCATAAACCTTAAGTTTTGCTAAACAACTTAAAACGACAATAATTTTGGGACGGGGTAGTATATAAAAGGTGTTTATGCAAATGTATACTCCAAACACAATGAATGGAATAGTATTCAATTCGATGAACAGCTACCTAGTTTGTGGAGAAACCGGCCGATCGGCCAAATCAAAATTTGGGCCTGTAATCTAGTGGTTACAAGAGCCTCATTAGCACCTGAGGTCCTGTGTTCGACTCCCAATGGAAGCGAATTTTCCAGGATTTAATGGCGTCGTGCTTTCAGTGGTAGGCGACGTTCCCATCGACAGCGAGACGCCTGTGGTGACTTCGTCAATTTCTTAAGGAAGATTTGCCGGCCCAGTCTTCGAAGATGCTTATAGGGGTAGGGTTTGCGTATGTGCATTCATAGATGTGAGTGCGCGTACGTTGTGAGTGTCTGCGTTGTAATGTATAATTTAAAAAAAAATCAAAATTTCGTGGCCGTCGATTTAGGGCAGCACACTACGATATAATCCAAAAGAGAGAAAATGACACGCGTAGCTATCCTGTATACCCATCCTAGAAAAAGGACAAAATAAAAACCAAAAATAAAAATACTGCAAAAGGACCAAGTCTCAATTGAATACTGTGCCTTTTGTTTGGCGAGTGAACCGCTGTGCTACATACACGAGTGCATTCTGTGCGAAAAAGACATCCTATTGGCTTCTTTTTCTTATAGGCAGCGTGTAATTTTTTAAAAAATAATGTATGGCTGTGTGAAAGGCCATACAAATTAACAAAATTTTGTTCAAAAAAGTTTGTACATAAAGTTCGTTCGTGTGTAGAAGGCTCTTCTGACGTAAAGTCAGAGGGACGTGGGTCACTGACGTGTGGGTCACACGTCAGTAACATAGGAACATAGGTCACTGACGTGTGGGTGGGTCCCTCTGACTTTACGTCAGAGAAGACTCATCCGTGTAGAAGACGCGCAGAAAAGACCATACGGTAATAAATTGGCCACTAAAAAGATGCCTACGTGGCGAGTGGCATGGCCCATGGCCTCATATGTGGACGAAAAGCAACTACAAGAAGGATGATGTATTGTATTCCTCATTATTCGTAAAGGAAGTCGTTTTTTACAGCGACACGGTATTTAAAACACAACTTTGACTTCTTGTTTCTATAAAAATATTTATTAAAAAGTGATATATGTATATTTTTATGAAAGTATTTTTCAAGATAAATCTATTCATATAATTTTTATATTTTCAAACTCAACAATTTGAGAGTTATTATGATTTATATTTCTAAGGTTTGACTTAAACATTGTCCTAAACCACTTTCTTTACGAGTACGGATGGAGTATGCTAGCTTTGACTGACGTGGACACACGAGGCCAATCAGCGGCCAAACCCAAGCAAATTAAGCAGCAAATTACTCCCTCCATTTCTAACTAACTAATCATCATATATTTTTGTAGGCTATTCTCGAATAATTATCATATTAATGCATAAAAATAAATAAAAATTGTTGCATGTATTCATGCACACAACCATTTACAAATAACGTGCAATTAATGTTTTGATATATTATTGACCAATTAAGAAGTAACGGGATGGTGTATACATCAAGTTTTTTTACAAAATTTAATGTAATATATTTCTTGTTTTAGGTACATATACTCGGTTATATAGTAATGTGATGATAAATTAGGAATGGATGGACTGAAAGAGAACATGGCATGATGGATGTGTTAATCGATCATCCTTATCCTTAATTATTGTCTCCAAGTATGTGCCTAGTTTAATCTACTAGCTAGCTAGGTCGGCCGAGTGGTAAAAAGACAAAGCCTTTGATGCGTTTTTACGTTGACAACTAGGTGGTAATTAAACTGTTGTTAACCTTGATAATAAACGCCGTCGATCGAAGACTAACAATTACAGTACAACTTCTCCTTGTTATACTCCCTTCGCTTCGGTGACGTCCACCACAAGAAGTCAAGAACGATTCGGTTATACTTTTACACTTCCAAACCATCACAAATATTTCAAGTGCTTAATTTTTTAAAAAAATTGTACACGTAGATTTACCTCAAGAAATAGTACTATAATATCACAACTCATTTAGATTTTACAAACTAACTTTGAAATAAACTAATGGACCAAATAACATTTAAAAGTTTGATCGAATCTTGTCCTTAATTAAACATAAAAACTTACTAAAAGAGTAGTAATGATCATTACTGTGCGCCTTCTTATTTTGTCCAAGTAATGAGAAACGTAGAGCGGGAGAACATTATTATTGGGGCTACTTTGTTTAAGGTCCATCTTTTTTTTTTATCTGTTAAGCTGATTTTGGTGACATTTTTCTCCTTTTTTCACATGAATTATTTAACACATCAAAACCACTGGTAAAAGTAGAATTATAAAAGTCGCCCTCAAAGAGTTTTTCGTATTATTTTGGTCATTTGTTTTCATTAATTTAATGCAAGTGTAATTTAATTGTGTAAAATGTGTATTAGTCATAAATAATTGAGGGTAATAAGTAGTGATTAATTTGTCGCTGTCAAGAAGGGGATCTAGCGCTCCGGATTCTCGTACCAGCTGCGAGTTGTCCTTGTTGATTTGTCAAGTACTTCTGGATTATTATAATCTAGATTATTAAGAATAAGCTGAAAGAAACAGACAACTTATTGAAGTAGCTTATTATAATCTGGAGCCCAACTTATTATAATCTGATAAGCTCATTTACGTGAGCTTTTTCTAGATTATTGGATGAAAAATTACCCACCATGCCACCCCACTCTCTTTTTAGACTTACAAACCTAATAATCTATACTCTAATAATTTAGGAAAGAAACAACTAACCGCTTATTCTACTACAGATTATAACAATCAAGCTTATATTAATCTGATTTAATAATCTAGATTATAATAATCCCAAGCTGAAAAAAACATGGCCTAATTCTACTGTAATTACTAATTTAAGTAGCTGAGTATTGCATCATCAACTAATTAATTATCTTAACCATATGAAACCAAAAGAGCATAAGAGTCCGAGTGATCAAGACGCAATTATCGAGGTGATTAGGCATATTAAGATGGATCAGCTGTACGTGCTTGCTTGATTAGGATTAGTAGTAATAAATCTGCAGCTTTCTGACGGCGACGGCGCCCTGTCTCCTTCACACAGTGACATGTATGCATACAGCACATGCAAGCTGCGTGGGGGAGATCGACCTCGATCTCTACTTAATTCAGATTAGTTGCTAATTAAGTTCGTCGTTATATAACTGTTAACGATGATGATTATCCAGAGACACTATACCATATGTGTGCTCATTAGTTGGTCAATACACATATACATACAGCACTTGTGAGCATGTTACTGCAAATCTTTGGTGATTGATTAAGTCAACCACATGGCAAACCTGAACAAATATATAAGTTATACCATTGTTTGGAGGGTTAATTGGAATTCAATCTAATTATTCACATTGTGTGGATGGATGGTAGTAATTATTCACATGGTTAATGAATCGGAGATATCCTACTGATAGCCTATGTATCAGCTCATACCATTTGTGGATGGATGTAGTAGCACACAAGGTAATACTTTGCCATATGCCATTTTGTTTTTAGGCGTAGTATTTGGTACTGGTAGACAACGACTTTACTGGAGCCATCGTTTCCGAATACGTAACAACATATTTGCAAACGAAAAGTAATTTGTAAATAAAACTTTTATATACGTGCTCTTAGCGATCAAAAATCAAAGGTTAAAAAATAAACTTCGATGAAAAATCTTAAAATCAGCTTTAAATTTAAGATTAAAAATTTAAATTTTGGAGCATAAGCGAAAAGATGTGGCCTGTTATTATTTCTAATTCAAATTCTTCTAAAGTGATACTATGTCACACTAACAGACAGTAAAATTGAACACTCTTGTTTGTTCTTCTTAGGCTCGTTATTATTTTATACACTAGCTGTCATGTATATAACTGTGTATACTCTTAAGAATACCGAGCATCAAAATTGAACATAAGAATTACCTACGTATGTACTACGTACTCTTGAAATTATGTTACACTGACGTGAAATATAATATTTATATCGTGATAAATCATATGCAGAACTCCATCTAGTACCAGCTTGCGCCACTAGTAGATCGAAGATGAAGGTGATTGAGAGGCATGTAACATCTACCTTAGAAGGGACTATTTTGCCAATAAAAGCTATCATGCTTATCTAAGTCACAATAGATCAAAATTTTTAGTCACACCGTAGCAAGCATGAGAAAAAATGTGGCAACTTTAGGCGTGACAAAATGTATCTTGCAAAAAAAAGGGGAAAGTACTCTTACCGTTTCATATTATAAGTCACTTAACCTCTTTCTTAATCGATTTTTTTAAGTTTGATCAAATTTATAGAAAAAAATTAGCAACATTTACAACACCAAATTAGTTTCATTAAATTTAATATTAAATATATTTTGATAATATGTTTGTTTTGTATTGAAAAATATTAGTATATTCTTTTATAAACTTATTTAAATTTAAACAAGTTTAACTAAGAAAATAAATCAAACGACTTATAATATAGATCGAAGGGAGGGAGTACTTCACTAGTAGCTAGTGGTAAATGAGATGTTAGAAGCGCCAATGTAAGAGCAGGTACAATAGCAGGCTATAAGCATATTTTAAAGAGTTAAAGAAAGAGAGAGAAGAGCAGCGGGCTACAGATTTGTAGCCAGCTGCAGCACGGACTCCAAGACGTAATATGTGTATGACAGGTGGAACTATTTATTAATAGTATAGTAAACAACTATTGTATAAATTGGCTATTATATTAGTTATAGATGATTTGCCGCTAGTAGTGGGCTATATGGGCAGTCTCAACCCTCCACCTAGGATGGTGTCTATGGCATTAACTACATTGCCATGTAGGACTTTTACCTTATGTGACACTATATTAATTAAGAGAGAGAGTGAAGAGAAGAAGAAACTGGGTCTCATGCAAGACACAGCTTCAACACGAGAACCTATGCACTAGACACTATCAAGTTTTGCATTGGGAGAGAATAGTGTCTTCATAATAGATGAAGAATAAATATGATTGGTAGAGAAGAGAGATGATGTATTTATTAATGACCTACCTTAAGAAACCATGGGTTGTAGAGTGTAGTTTCTATTGTAATGTCTTATTGGTATGGCACCATAGACACTGTATGTGGACACTATAGGTTGGGACTGCTCTAGTATTGAACTTGCTCTAAGAAAACAAGTTAGTACTGTACCAGGCTGCGGCACCAGTAGATCTAAAGGTGATTGAGAGGCATGTGGCACGTCCACGTCACCCACCCCCCCAAACTCACTCACACTCACTCGGTGTCCAACCATTTAAACCCACCCCTCCTTCCACACGAACACACAACCCCAACCATTCGACCCGCGCAGCGAGCCCCAACCCCACATCGCCGCGCGCCCCCGATGGCGTCCTCCTCGTCGGCGGCGGCGCTCTGGACGGCGGCGCCCCACCCCCACGGCAGCTGCATCAGGATCCACGCCATCTTCCACCAGCGTCACCAGCGGAGGGGGAGGAGGCCGGTCGTCGTCGCCTCGTCGGTGAGGCCGCTGCAGGCCGCGAGCCTGGCGGTGGCCACGGCGCCGGTGGCCGTGGCGTCGAGGAGGACGGCGGCGGAGGAGGCCGTCTACGAGGTCGTGCTGCGGCAGGCGGCGCTGGTGGAGGAGGCCACCCACCGCCGCGGCGCGGGGGCGCCGCGGTGGGCGGAGGAGGACGCCGTCGACTGGGGCCTCCTCCTCGGCGACGCCTACCACCGCTGCGGCGAGGTCTGCGCCGAGTACGCCAAGACCTTCTACCTAGGTCAGCCAACCCAACATTGACTAATCATTCAATTTTGTTTTTGTCACCGTTATTACTTTATCATTTCACAGGTGAAAGCTAGCTACTATTCGTTTGCCACTACTACTCCCTAGCTTAGCTAGCGTCTCTTCCTTTTCTTGATTTGTTCATAGTACTGTATATGATAATTGTAGACCTACCCTTTCTCTATTTCTTTTTGGGTTCTTGGGTGGAATGGCTGGCTTGATAAAATTTTGCGACCCTTTTTGTGGTTCTAGGAGCCACATCTCACTTTCACTTTCTTGTACTTGTTGGTCTAAAAAGATTAGTTAATGCTGCAATTAGTTGGCTTTTACTAGGAATTGTAAGAGGGTGGTGTTAAAAGGTGATTAAAAAAAAATCTATGAACATTCCTAGATTCCTATTACGTGTTAAGAAGATAAATATTCCTGCGTATAATTTATGGAATACTCCTTCTGATGGCAAAAATATATTAGCAGTAGCCAAACAACACCAGCCTGAGTGAGTGAGTGGCTCTCAGTGCTCTGAACAACTGTACATGTATATACAAATGTTTGCCGACTTCAGAGTAGGTAAGATAATGCACTTGGATGATAGATGCCATCCCAAGGAAATGATCCAACAAGCAGATGCGCAGATATGGTGATCTCTCTAGTGCACCACTGGCAATTTATAGATTTCTCTTCTTAATTAGGGTCAGGGATATGCTGGTTGGTGGTGGGTTTGTGGGTGATGTGAGGACGCATGGGCTTGATTGATGAATCCAGTAACCTTCTTGTTTTTTTTAATCTTGCTTTCTGTATCACCGTGTTTCCACTTGGATCATCCCTGACCTGGTAAGGGACTCATTTTCTATTGCTATGAGGACCTTTTGGGGACTAGCTCAAACTCTGATGTATGGTTGATACTTAGATTTTCTACGTAAAGTGGAATTTCACCTTGTGTAATTTCTCATGGTTTTTGTTTCCATCGTTTACATTTCAGGTACTCAGCTTATGACTCCTGAAAGGCGCAAAGCTGTCTGGGCAATCTATGGTATGGATTAGTTAACTATTCATTGATCTACCAGTTACTCTCACTTGTGAAAATTCAGATAACTTCAATTGTTTGTGGAATTTTTAATTCTTACCTTTGTTTTTGTCTTTGGCAGTATGGTGCAGAAGAACTGATGAACTGGTAGATGGCCCTAACTCGTCTTACATTACACCAAAGGCACTTGATCGATGGGAGAAGAGATTAGAAGATCTCTTCGAAGGCAGGCCATATGATATGTATGATGCAGCCCTCTCGGACACAGTGTCAAAGTTTCCAGTAGATATCCAGGTACAGCCAACAAAAAAGCTACTGTAAAAGCAGGATATGAAGTGCTTTTAAAAGTTATTAGTACACAGTAAATTGGTGACACGCATTTGTCTGATGTTTCTGCACCGTCGGGATCTCTTTTATTTACAGCCATTCAAAGACATGATTGAAGGAATGAGGCTTGACCTGTGGAAATCAAGGTATAGGAGCTTTGATGAGCTCTACCTCTACTGCTACTACGTTGCTGGCACGGTTGGTCTCATGACAGTACCGGTGATGGGGATTGCCCCCGACTCGAAGGCCTCAACCGAGAGCGTGTACAACGCTGCGCTAGCTCTTGGGATCGCCAACCAGCTGACGAATATTCTCAGAGACGTAGGCGAAGAGTAAGTACCAATGTGCTCACTACCAGCATGTTCTTTTTCTGAGTTAATAATTGCAGACTTTCACATGATAAATATGTAGTTTGACACCCAATATGTATTGCACAAACCATTTGCGCTTTAAAGTCTAGTCCAAAATTGTGCCTAAACAGATGCCTTTCACATTAAAAATTTGAAGCGCACATAAGTTTAATTTAAGGCATATGTACCGATTTGTCGCTATTGAGATTAAGTTTTTTGGTTGATTGTGATGTAATATGTTTGTTGTGGATGGAATTTCAGCTCAAGGAGGGGAAGAATCTACCTTCCATTGGATGAATTGGCAGAGGCAGGTCTGACAGAAGAAGACATATTCAGAGGGAAAGTGACTGATAAATGGAGGAAGTTCATGAAGGGACAAATTCTGCGTGCCAGGTTATTCTTTGATGAGGCGGAGAAGGGCGTTGCGCATCTAGACTCTGCGAGTAGATGGCCGGTATGAGAGGCTACAAATTCTGCGGTTTTATGTTCCACAAATAAAATAAACCACTGAAATTTACCTTAATCGATTATTTTCTCGTAGGTTCTGGCATCTTTGTGGTTATACCGGCAGATCCTTGATGCTATCGAAGCAAACGACTACAACAACTTCACCAAGCGCGCGTATGTAAACAAGGCAAAGAAGCTGCTGTCTTTACCGGTCGCTTATGCAAGAGCGGCAGTTGCATCATGAACAATCACTAGATCAGATGCCTTATTATTTTTTTTCTTTCATTTTCTTTTCTTTTGATTTCGCACGATTTCTTGGCTGTTGTATATATTCAAGCAGCTACCTGTATGCCATAAGCCTGCCACAGTTTTTCTTTAGTTCAAGGGACTGATTTCAGGTCCCTCAATACTCAACTCTTGTTAGAAACAAATACAGAGGGGGTAAGCCCCACAGTTCAAGAAGCATATTACTCTTCATTTGTCTTCAAGAATTCAAGCTTTGCCTTTGTTACAAACATGCCACTGTTCAACCATACTGAATTGCTGATCTGAACATTGATTCTACTGTTCAGAGGTCAAAACTAGGAAAAAAGAGCCCCCAGAGTTTTCACATGTTGCTACTATGTCAGCTGAAAGCATTTTTCATAAACAACCAGACTTAATCTAAATCTCTTTCCTTATTATGATGTTTTACTAGGAAAGCAGAACCCCAAGAGTTTTCACATGTTGTTGTTATGTCAGATGATAAATAACCAGTATTAGTCTGAAACTCCTTGCTGATTATGATGTTTAACAACATGATGATCTGAACAATGTGCTTACCATTTGGTGACTCTGTCATCCTCTGAACCTTGTTGAATGAGAACCACAATTTGGGTGTGGTCCAGTAACCACTAGACCTTTGGACTCAATTGTGGCAAATTGTCTCCTAGCAGCAGGAGATATGACTGGCTACTCTGCATCAATAAATCTTAGTAGTACATTCTTACTTCTGGTGAATATTGAGAACAGCAGATACTACTGGACAATGGCATGCAGATGACACTGCTGCTAGCTCTTGGCTAGGGTTCTTGTGGCTGGGAGGTGTCAGGATGGCCATTGCTTTCTTCCAGGCCACATCTCGCGATTCTGATGAGATTACCCGGAAATCAAAGCGCAGGTGTGAATTGGCATTGGTTTGCAGAACGAAAGATGACAAGAATTGCAATTTGCCTTCTTTTTTTTTTTTAGATTCACATGAACCATGTGTTTAGTGCTATATAGTGTGTAAAGTAAATTGTAGTACTACTACTCAAGAATATACAATTTGCAATTTGCCTTCTCTTTTTTTCCCCTTTCCAATTCACATGAACCATATGTTACTTGAGCACATAAAATACTTCTGTTGGTCAAAATTTATTTACTTTTAGAAAAGAAAAGGCAGGGTGAAGTCCTCCACTTAGCACCTTTTGTCATGTGAAATAACAAGAACATATCGGACGAGTGTTTTTTTCACCTTCAACCTTTTTTTATTATTACTTCTCACAATGTGGAAAAAAAGTTCCTGGCCCATTTTCCAAAAGAGGCCTTTCACATCAAACTAGGATCGATTTTGGATGCAGACATTTCATAGGAGTCGTTTCATTTTCTGAATTAATTGAGAAAATAAAGATCTTGCGCCCCATATTAGAAAGCAGATCGAAATTAAAATGCAGCAGGAAATGAATGATATTAATAAAAGAAAGAAATGAACGATGGCCCACATGTACGGCCTATTTACACGGGCCTGAATTCCCATGCAAAGCCAATAAGTTATTTCTGGCCCATAATGGGCCTGAATTTAGCGAGCAGGCCCACTAATTTTTTTGGGCCCATTTGTTCAATCCCCGCAAAAAGCCATAGACATTTTGCTCCGTCGCGAGCCAAGCGAATTCAAAACCCTCGTCTCCGGCGGCGGCGGCGACGGCGAGGCGGCGGAGATGAACGTGTTCGCGGGGGTGGGCGGGGGCGCGGCGGGGAAGGAGGCGGGGACGGTGGGCGGCGGGGCGCTGCTGGAGCTGACGCCGCACAAGCTGGCGCTGTGCCACCTCGTGCAGGTGTTCGCGCCGCCGCCGCAGGCCGGGGTCTCGGCCCCCGCGCTGCCCTTCCCCTTCGAGTCCGTCGCCCACCACAACCGCCTCGGCCTCTTCCTCTTCGCCCTCACCCGCGTAAGCATCGCCTCTCCTCCCTTCCCCCACCGCACGCCCGAAATGTCACTCCTGAACTGAGATGCTACACTTTGCTTGCTCTCTGAATTTAGCTGCTGCTGATGTGACCAAATAACCATTATAGCTTTAAAATCATCATCCATTTGCGGTTTGGTGTGATAGGCTGGTTGAGATTGATCGACTGCGTAGGCCATTCACTTGATCTGTTCCAAGTTCATGGAGGACACAAGTGTGACCAATTGCGCATTTTACTGTCACTACCTTTTAATTATCTCCCCATTCTCAAGCTGGGTATAGCTTTCAGTTCACTCGTATGGATCTCCACTTACTTGTGCTTTGTAGTCGTGCGAGGATTTTCGGGAACCTCCACTGGAAGAGCTTCTAAGGCAGCTGAAGGCAGTTGATGCTTTGGTTAATGGCTGGCTCTGTGAGCAGCTTACAAGTACCCTTTCAGCGCTTACTTCACCGGATGATCTGTTCAACTTCTTTGATAAGCTACGAGGTAAGCTTTACTATATGGGTGGAGGTTTTGAGTCCTCAATACTTCATTCTTAGAGAAAGACTTCGAATTATAAACGGATATAGTTTATTTTTGCAATGGTTTCTGCCAGGCGTTCTGTCTGCGCCAGAAGGTGCAAATGTGGAAGACGAATTTCTGGATCCAAATAGTCAGCTTGGAGTTTTTCTTCGTTGCTGTATACTTTCCTTCAATACAATGACCTTTGAGGTGCTACAATCAGAGCAATCCATTCGCAAACATTTTTTTACTGTTGCCTTATTTTTATTATTTAGGGTACTAAGTGTTCTTGCTGAATCTTGTTGTAGGGTGTCTGCCATCTTTTGGCAAATCTTGTGGAGTATTGTAACTCCGCTGACACCTCATACGACTTGGCAGAAGATGAGGACTTCAACAGTGAAATGGAAATGAGCAACTTCATGGATACAAATATGCATGTTAGAGATGGTGTATTTGACAAATACAATCAAGGTTATGCCCCTAGGAGCCATATGGTAGACAGCTCGTCATCTCTAGTACATGCTCCAGCCTCACTCCATGATTTTGAGGAAGGTAAATCTGAACCCCAAAATCCCAAATACATAACCTGCTAGGCTGCTATTTCATCAATTTAGTGTGCATGAGGAATTATTTTAACACACCAAACAAGGAAAAAAAAGCGACACCAAGGTTTTTAGAATCACCCTCCACCAACAGAAGAATGAGATGTGATGACTAATGAGCACAAGAAAGATAAAGCTTACATAATTTGGAGTTTCGTCAGTTTCTTATGCTTCCTTTTTTGTCATATAATTATTTGGCAATAGTAATACCAATTCAACTCTGCGTTTCTTTCCCCCAATGCAATTCAATTCTGAAAAGTGAAGCATTTTCCACTTATGTTATTTCTGCCATTTGATTTACGATATTACAAAATGATCTGCGCACAGTTATCTGGATAAAAGTTTTTCTTTTGGTATATGTGCTGGTTAGTTACATGGAAAGGGATATAATAATTCTATAATGCATAAAACTTTTGAGTTATGAAAGAGTTTCAGATAATCACTTTTCCTCCTTCAATATTTTTCACTTCCCAACAGTTCAATTGCAGGGTGACTTTTGGATTGTGGAAATTACACACTTTTATACCATGGTCACGTTATTTGCATTGCTAAATATATTTTTCAATGATTTTCAATATCATTTATTTCTCAATGCTACATGCAATTTTATTTCTATGATCTATTTTTGTTTTATCAGGCTGCTGAAAAAGATCCATTTGTTCAAAAATATTTATGTCTTTATTTCTTTTGCTAGCTAATATGTTCAAGGCAGATGATAACCTGGGTCCAACTTGTCTGAGGTCAAGATGGCAATTAGAGGCATATCTTAACCAACAAGCTGATATTCTTGAGAAGTAAGAGTCATTTACCACATTTAATCAACTAATGCTACCACAAACTTGTCCTACTTCTTGAGAAGCACATGAAGCAGTGCCTTTAATAGCTCCTCTTTTGCTGCAGGGATCCTAGTTCGGTGCCTTTGAATTCATTTAATGCTACTATGAGTCAACTTCAGAAATTAGCTCCAGAGCTCCATCGTGTAAGTTATGAGCAGAGCAATACCTTAATCTTCTATGAATATGCAGAATTGTGAAGAGTTCCTTGTCACAATGGTTTATTTTGATCTATATTCTACCTGTCAGGTCCAATTTTTGCAGTATTTGAATGCTCTTACCCATGATGACTACGTTGCTGCATTAGATAATCTTCACCGCTATTTTGATTACAGGTCTGTACCAAACTGCCAATCATATGAAAGAGGGTGGGGGTTGTTGATGTTTTGGTCATATTTTTCCATGATTCTCTGGTACTATTTAACATTTAGTCATCAACTCATTGCTGGAGAGTGCTTGATGTTTTGACCACCTGTTCTATCCATTTACGATGATTGATGGCACATGTGTTTTAGTTATTGCCTCTGCACATGCATGGCAATTATAGTAGGGGTATTCCATGAATTAATACAGCAGGTGTATTCTATGAATTAAGTCATGTTAGTCTCTAGACTCTAGCATGTTTTCAGATGTCTATAAAGCAGTTTCTACTTTCTGCATTCAGCAATGCTGCAGTCTTTATTTCTCTATAATCAAGACGGATCAAAATTGGAATGGGATAATACAGCAAGTTTTGGAATCATGGTATATCTGTCTAGACTTGTTGCTACATGTATTATATTTACTCAATGCTGCCACTAGCCCACCATGATTTTTTAAGAATCTTTTGTCGGCAAGCAAGAGTAAGCTATAAGCATATGTGATAGTGACATGTTGCATATGCTATGTTGAAAACTCAGAAGCAATTGTAAAATATGTTCTAACATAGTTAATTTATGTGGATGATGTAGTGCAGGGATGCAAGGACTTTTCAGTCGTACCGCGTCTCCATTCCAAGATATTATAGTTGGGAAGTATGAGAGTGCTTTGCTCTGCTTAGGTAACTTGCACTGTTATTTTGGACATCCGAAGAAAGCCTTAGAGGTAATGTAAGGTAGTTGGTTTTCTTTAATTTATTCCGCCTATTTATATTACTAGGACCATCTGTTTCAGTATTAAATATTGCTTATTGTCCTCTTGGATTTCTTTCTTCCAGGCATTCACAGAAGCAGTGCGTGTTTCCCAAATGGTCAGTCACAACTTGGTTTTTTCTCAAACTTGATTTTGTTTTACAATAAAAACGAGTTGATTGATTATTATAGCAAGGCTTCAGTCAGTGTCTATTCAGCAGGGTGCTGTACCCTTAATTCTTCTTATCTTTCATCCTGAGTTGAATGAACAAATTGAATTTCTTTCATGGTCAATGTTTAGTTTTAAGTGGTTGTACAATTCTCTGCAAATTTTGCACACATGCTTGCGCACTCAGCGCTATGTGCATACACACAAAACAAAACTGTCACCTGGTAGCACAACAAAACGAGATAAAGTTGAATTCTGTTTGGGAATTTGACACTTACCTTGCCCCCAAGTTTACCGTAACCTGGAAAAATGTAACCAGTTAATCACCGTGTTTTATCAATTATCATGCAGTATACAATCTCTTCATATGAAGTTGTCAGCAATGAAAATATATTCCACTTAATGTGTTCTCTTCCCTAGTTCTCGTTACTGCCAAGGTGGCTGAGGGTCTGAACGGGTATATCCAAACTGGTAGTTACTTAGGCGATTAAACTGATGTGCCAATTCCACGGCTTATCAGAATCAAATCGCCAAAGTCATATTACTGGATAGGAGTAAGAGATTGTGTATAAGTCAGCTACTATTTTTGGTACATGTTCTTGTACATATTAAACAAATTTCTGGTGTATTATACTACTATGTTTTAGGGTGTTATTTAAATATTAGTATGAGCTGAATGCTTCTCTTCAATTGGCTGTTTTAACACATGCTTCATTTTTTTCCAGAACAATGATGATTCATGCCTGGCCTATATATTAGGAGCTATTTCCAATCTGTTATCAAAGATAGGCATGTCAAGCACAGTTGGAACAATTGGTTCTCCTTATTCACTTGGAAATAACATCGGATTAGGCACACCGCTGTCCATTCAGCAACAGCTGCTTGTTCTTTTAAAGAGATCACTTAAGCGAGCTGATACCTTGAAACTTACAAGCTTGCTGTCCTTTGATCACCTTTCTCTTGCAAAATTTGATCTGAAGGTAAGATCTCCATTTTGTTTCATTTGATTTTAAGACCTCTTTAATGCCTAGCAATGCTTAAGTTTCTTATTCATCTTCCTGCATGTGCATCTCATCCTAATAATGTCAGCTTTCAAATGTGGCAAAGTCTCTCTGTCCTATGGCATTTTTTTTAGATCAAAGATAATTCAATCCAGCTTGGTAAGAAAGCTTACAAAAACAGGTGTTCATTTACAGACTCAAATGGATAGCAAACTGGGGACTCCAGTTCTCGATAATTGTCTTGTGGCATTAGTGTTTTGATCTTGAAAATGTTATTGCTAGATGACTTTTAGTTCATGATATACTTAGTTTCGTGCATCCTTATTTATCTCTACTTTTGTCCTGACTGTAAACCTTGCCTTACCAGCATGTCCAAAGGCCTCTGGTGTCCTTTGGCCCTAATGCTTCCACAAAGCTTAGAACATGTCCTGCAGATGTCTGCAAGGTATGCTTAACCTACAATGTCCCCGATAATATTACACTCGGTCTCAACATAATGTCTATACATTTACTTCTAATATAACCTTTTGTCTTTCGGTTTTATTGCAGAATTTGAGATTAAGTTCACGTGTGTTGACTGACTTTGGCACAGATGGCTTATCAGCATCAAATGATAATGGTAGTTTTAGTACTTCATGGCTTAGGAATCTGTCTGCTGCTTCTAATTCTTGGTGTAGCAGCTCGAAAAAATCTGGAAAACTACTTACGAATGACTTCGACAATTTCCATTTTCATGCACAACCAAGTCCTATACCTGCATCAGTATTGCAATTAGCTGGCTCAGCTTATTTGCTGAGGGCCACTGCTTGGGAACACTACGGGAGGTACTGATCTGTTCTCTGTTAATGGCTTATAATGCTTATGACAAGAATCACAGCAACGAATGTGACCATGTGGGGTTTTTATACCTTTTCTTTCCCAGCCTGACACAATATCGTAATCCTGTGAGAAAAGAGGTGTTTGATAAGCAAGTAGCAAATCTCTTGCAAGATAGAAATGGCACAAGATACTTAGGTTGCACATTGTTGGGGTTATTGATACCAGTATAAAAACATCCCTACCTTTTATGCTTTGTTGGCAACTTGACTTATATTTGATTTTGTTTTGTGGTAAACTTCAGATTCATCTGTACCCTTCCTAGAATGCTAATGTATTTCCATCCATCTTTTGTTCACTGCCTTCACAGTGCTCCGATGGTTCGAATGAATTCGTTGGTCTATGCAACCTGCTTTGCTGATGCTGCAAGGTATCACATACAATATGTTTATGTATGCTGTAGCTGTTGTCAATCTGGATAGGATATATGATGGTATTGTATTTCTTCTTGCAGTTCATCAGAGCTGTCGCTAGCATATGTCAAGCTAATTCAGCATTTAGCAACTTTCAAAGGGTATTCAGGTAAGTTGCCACATGACCAAGATGTGTTATAGCCTCCAATTTTGTAAGCTCCCACTTGGCTACTTTATAGCCTTACATTCTCTTATTGATCTGAAGCGGCATTCTCTGCTCTCAAGCTTGCTGAAGAGAAGTTCCCGTTGTCAGCAAATTCACATATCCAGCTTCTTAAAATGCAATTATTGCACGAGCGTGCTCTGCATCGGTAAAAAGCTGTTTCTGCACTTTTTTTAATATTCTTTTAGTGGCTGCAGTCTACATCCATAATCTGATGTGTTATTATTGATCTATGTAGAGGACACCTGAAAGTTGCGCAACAGATCTGTGATGAGTTTGCTGTGTTGTCATCTTCTGTTAGTGGAGTCGACATTGAGCTCAAGACAGAAGCTAGGTTACGGCATGCTCGCACGCTTCTTGCCGCAAAACAATTTAGTCAGGTTCTTGGATTCATTTCTCATTATTACCTAAGCGACATTTTGTGCATCATTTCTTTGTCCTTTGATTAAGAAGCCTGTCAATCTTTGGTGTGCAGCTGGAGCTAAGGCGCTCCACGAGCTTCTATGTAGGTCGCTTGCCCAGTTGCCCTAGATGCCTAATCGCTGCTAGGTGTGCTTTTGTTTTGTTTTTTTGCGCGCCACTTTTTGTGACCTTTTTTTTGGAGGGGTCCTTTTGGATCCCTTGGTTGTACATATTTCTTTCTTCTTCTTAATGAAATGAAGCACAGTCCTCTTACGTTTTCGAGGGGAAAAAAAGCCTTTGCAAATGTGTCAACCTATATTCAAGCGCATTTACCCCCTTTTCCCTGTTCAAATCCAGCCCCTCTTTGTCCATTACTTCAACCATTCTGCCTCCTGAATTTATTCAGATCATGCCCAAAAACTCACAAAAATAAATATTGCTCTAATACTTGTGTATCCTTGTGTAGGCAGCAAATGTGGCAAATTCTCTTTTCTCTACTTGCTACAAGTACAACATGCAGGTGGAGAATGCAAGTGTTCTTTTATTACTTGCAGAGATACAGAAAGTAAGAAAACACATTTTTTGGGAACTAGCATCTAATTATGTTGCAACGCCCACAAGCAAACTAATACTTTTCTTATTTTTTGCCAGAATTCTGACAATGCAGTCCTTGGGCTTCCTTACGCATTAGCTAGTCAATCATTCTGCAAATCATTTAACTTAGATCTGCTTGAAGCCTCGGCTACACTAACTCTTACTGAATTATGGCTGGCTCTTGGATCAACCCATGCAAAGAGGGCCTTGAGTCTTGTTTGCCAAAGCCTTCCAATGATCCTTGGTCATGGTGGACTTGAGCTGCGCGCTCGAGCTCACATAGTTCTTGCAAAATGCTATCTGTCCGATCCAAAATTCTCAGGTATATCCTAATCATGCTTTCGCATCACTGCAGTTCTATCCCGCATCATTTTAGTTTTCATAACATGATCAACCTTTAGATATGCCAAATAGCACGTAACAAAATGTTGCTGTTGCTTTTTGTAAGCTTTTACTGAATGGTCAATTTACATGTCAGCCTGAATACATTTGTGATGTTACGCGTCATGAATCTGTGAGGCTTGTTAGTTTTTTCTTACTTTAGAAAAACCGGTTCCCCTTTGTCCTTTCATCATGGCAGTTTCCGAAGACCCTTCTGCTGTTCTAGATCCTCTGAACCAAGCTGCGGAAGATCTGGAGGTTTTGGAGGTGAGCTGCTGGACACTATTTCTGTTGATCCCTTGAAAAAAATGCATTTTAATTTAGAGCTGATCGAGTGAATTTTCTACTATGTGTAGTACCACGAAATGGCGGCAGAAGCATACTACCTAAAGGCAATGGTCTACAACAATCTAGGAAAACTGGATGAGAGGGAGGAAGCTGCAGCTTCTTTCAAGGAGCACACACTCGCCCTTGAAAACCCATATAACGAAGAGGATTCACTTGCTTGCTGATACTATCAACTGAAATGGCAAGCTCAGCTCCCGTTTGTCCAGCAGAATGCCTTGCTGAGAAGAAGAAGGCGGCGTCAGCAGATCGGTGGTGCATCCATGGATGATTGATCAGTCTACATATGCCCCCTGTGCATGCATTGGTTGCATTACGAGCCCAACCAAATGGCTACATGGAAAGTCGGAAACGATCAGCATCTGATGTTAATTTGCTAGCTGCTGCAATCCAATCGCACTTTCATTTTCATCCTTTTTCTTTTTGCCAAGCTACTACTGTACATACATGCCATGGTTTGGTTTGATAATTTGACAAGATATGATGGCCATGGCTACTGTCCTGCTGACAACTACTGGACATATATATGCGTGTTGATGATGTTCTTGTACGTTTCGTACCTTTTGTTAGTGGCACATGCTCATATTATGCGTTACGCTCATGTAAATATTTTCGATCCATACATATATATATTCTCGATCGCTACTTTCCTTTCTGTCTCAATACCGAACTGATGTTATAAGAAAGAACAGATGTTGTAGTGGTTGTAGTTTCATTGAAGTAAATGCCATGATTTATTCTATTATCTTAAAAAAAAACAGATGTTGGAGTAAACTCTCGAAGCCTGTTCGCTACCAAAACTTAAATTTTAGAATTGATTTTGAGTTTTTTTTTTGATTTACTTGTAAACTGTGAAGAACACCGATATAAAAGTTTTGAACAAAATTATTTTACTTACTAACTTAGCTTATTTTTCAACGGTTTATCAACCGTAGATTAAACGATCATAGCGGAAGTAAATTCATCAAAAGTTAATCGTATTCTCATAGTTTTCATTTCTTAACCATTTTATTGCTTTTGTAGTAAATGGGCTAGAGATCCAAATTATACTTAGTTTCTTACTTTATTTTTTTGACAGCTTATTAGTTGTAGATTAAACAATCATAGCTGAAGTAAATTGATCAAATGTCAATCGTATTCTCCTAGTTTTCATTTCTTAACCATTTTATTGGTTTGGAGTAAAAGGGCTCGTGATCCAAATGTCATCAGGAGGCTAGCTGCCATTATCATGAGGCAGACGTCTGACTGGCTAATATGCTAGCTGCAGGTTGTTATGAGTATGACACGCCAAAATCAGCAGTGACAGTAGCAATTAAGTACACACATGCACTTCCAAAAACATGTCCTAAGATGTGACAAACCTGTTGCTTTCGCCTCTTTTACGTGAAAGGGAGGCAACATACGCATGGGCTATCCTACACTTTTGCACAAATTACCGTGTTAGCACAAATTAATCATGTTTCTCATTACACTTTGAAGATGCACTGGCTAGTGTAGTGGCAAGGTGTATGGTTTCAACATCAAAGTCCGTGTTCAATTCTCGGCACCCTTAGAGCAAGTTTTATAGTAGAGGTGACTATCACATCCAATTTCATGCATAACATACATAATTAAATCAAGAGGTGATATGTATAATATGTCATCTCTACCACACAATCCCCAATATCTCTAATACTCTCACATGTTTATTGAAGTTTGTGTAGGGGCTGCCCCTTGCATGAGAGGTGACTATTTCTCTCTCATCCTTCTTTCTCCTCCACTTCACTATTTAGTCCTATGTGGCATCTTGGGGCTTGTACTTGGATGCCCATAGTACTTGCCCTTATATTTTCTTCTTAATTATTTGCCCAGACCTTTTTAAGTTGTTACACTTGATCATGATCAAGTTCATTTCCTGGTTAATTGTCCAGCGGTTTTTTTTAGTCATTACACTTTATCTTAAATTCCCAAACCCTATATGTACAACAGAAACCCTACCCTACATTGATGGCTTGATGACTGCTAGCTAGGCTGCTGGGAAAACCACCTCAACATTAGTGTAGTTGTAAGAAAAACAACTAATGGGTGAGAGTTGTAAAATATATTCTTTTAAAGATAATGGATAAAATCCACCCTTTGGTTCAACCGAAGCTACAACCAAAGAGTTGTAAAATATAAAATTGAGTAATTTTCACATTAAGCCATTTATATTCACCAAAGTTTCACTTAAGACTAGGCCTAAACCAACATTTTCACATTAGACCAAATATTGCACTTGTAAAGTACAACTAATATAATACTCCTTTGCGTTTGGCATTTTGCAATTTTGTCATACAAAAAGCTGCAAAGTACAGTCCCAACTATTCATGATAATTACTCCTTAATTAATTAGTGCAGTACACTAAACATTTTGCAATTTTGCCAAAGACATAATCTTCAAAGTACAGTCAAATAAGTGAACAACTGTTCATGATTATTACTATAGTACAGTAACCATAATAAGCAGCTCAAGCTAATTAAACATCACTCGTACTTATTTACTTATCAATTTTACATCGTCTTCACTCACTCAATCACTCTCTCATCAAAATTCCCTTAGACAGGGAAAATAAAAAGGAAAAAAAACTCAAATTAAAAGGCAAAGAACCACAAAGTTCTCCGAGCTATTTACAAATGGGTCCAGCCCGGCCCGGCCCGGCCCGGCCCACAAGCCCAACCGACGGCCGGCCGCGCGCGGCTACTCGCTGTCGTCGTCCTCGTCGCCGGCGGCGGCGAGCGCGGCGCGGAAGACGTCGGCGCGGCAGGGGATGCGGAGCGGGCCGTGGTGGTCGTAGCCGTACTCCTGCGCGGCGCGGCGGAGGAGCTCGGCCAGCGCCGGCCGCCCGAGCAGCTCGGCGCGCACGACGAACCGCTCCGCCGCCGCCGCCTCGCCGCCATCCCCCTCCCCGACCACGTACACCGGCACGTGCCCCTCGGGTACCCCCTCGTGCGCCGCCGCCGCCGACGACGACCTCTTCCCGCTGCTCCCACCTCCGCCGCCTCCGCGGCGTGGCGCCGGCGAGAATGGCGGCGGCGAGGAGGGCGACGAGCAGTCGCCGACGCGGGAGAGCCGTCGGATCATCTGCCTCATCGGATCGGACGGTCCAGATCTCTCACTTCACTCGCAGTCGCAGTGTGCGTGAGCTCACGGGGGGAGGCGAGGCGAGGCGGGAGTATTTATAGCGGGAAAGGGAGCGTGTCCGTCACGTGGCTGACGTGTCGGGCCCCGGGAGCGTGGGCCCACCCTGTCAGTGTGATGAGTACCGAGAGGTACAAGTGGGAGTACGGCTTCAGGTACGGCCACCTTTTCGTTTCCCTCTTTTTTGCTTTTATTTTTATTTTTTTATATAAAAAATTATGTCTTGTTGCTTTCTGATTAGTGTGCAAGAGAAAATTTTCTTTCTGGAGGGATATTTTTGTTTTGCTTTTCTTGTCTGGTGGAATCTCAGTGCAGTACACAACGATGTGCATATATTGCTTGCTTCAACTGTATATGTTTATGCTTTTATTTGCATGCTTTAACCATGTGTTTACTTTCATCTTGTCCACTTGATCTTTTTAAGGGAAAATAGACCTTGTACTTCTAGTAATTGATGTTTTTTTTCGTCAAAAACACAACACACACGAAAATAAACCAAATAGAATGCTCATGCAGTAATTAATTGAACATGGACACTACTGTAAATCAAGGGTACATACATACATGAACCCTAGACGGTACAAAAGTGTTGGTTGTCAACTTGTCATCACTACATATACTAATCATCTAGTATTAATTATTTTTTTCAAAAAGGGAGTAACAATTGTATAGACTTGCATGCATGTCCGGAAATAAAAAGGCCGTACAGATGCTTTAGTAGGTCACTCTATTAACATATGGTATCAGATCATACAATTGGTTTAAGTTTAATTAATTAGGCTTTAAAGGTCAAAGCAAACAGCAACAATATATGAGCCGTACACAATTAAGGCCGGGTATCCGTGCGTGCGTGCTGACGCAATCAATCTCCACCTTTAGCACTACAAAAATCAATATAAATGCCCTACACATTTAGATAACTAGATGAATACCCCGCCGCGTTGTTGCCGGAAATTAAGTTGTATAGTATGTACAAATAAGCTATATTATATTTTGTAAACAAAAATAAAATGACTTCCCTATGTTTTATATTATTAACACATGATTGCAAATATAATGCAAGGTGAATATATTTTGTAATTGATACTTATGAATTTTGAACTAAAAAACAATTGAGATTGTATGGTTTTGTGAGAGAAAAAAGAAGAGACTATTTGTACCATATATCTATCATCCAAAGGCTAAAAGTAATTAGGATGATGTGGCTTCATGAGAGAAGAGAGAAATAGCATTAACTATACTTAGTGGGGATGAACTATATAAGTATATAGGATTTCTCTTGTGTGTATTCCAACTTTTAGCTAAGCTATTTCCTCCCTTCTAAAACATACTATGAAGATAGCAATATTTTGATATGTATGAAGTAACTCTGGCAATATCTGTTAGCAAGCTGATATTTTTGAAGAGAGTACTTCTAAAATTAAATTTCAAGAACATTAATCAAAAAATTAAACTCGGATAAATTAGTTCCACCATAAAAAATCTAACCAACTGAGCGTTCAACTCTCTAAGGGACTGATCTACAGTAGAAGGGCCGATGTCAGGCGACACCGACGACTTTCGGCAAAATCTATAGCGAAACTGCTTATATATATCTAAGCATAATTAGCGTACTAAGACACCGATAAACACGTTATGACACCAATAAATCAATTTTCTGGATCCGCCATTGATTCTCTGTACATATTATATGTACAACTATAATTACTTCAACTCTTCACACATAATCAAATATACTTTAGTTAGGTATGTTTGCACACGCGTACGTACGTACATTTAGCATTGTGCATTGAACAAGCTAGCTATATATGTATGCTAGTTAGCTTTATCTAGCTAGGAGTAGTAGCTTTTTTTTAGATAATGGAAATAGATTACATCTCCGGCATCTGTCATAAGACACACAGCCATATGTTTAAAAGTAATAAAAAGGTAAGATAAAAATAAATCAAAATGAGAAATAAGGTGATGGGACAAATCCCCAACTCCCCTTTGTTATTGACTAGCGTTAAACCACGTAAAATATTTTAGCTAGCAATTATTATGGAACTACGCCACCCATAATGGAATAAGAGACCCTTGGCTACCGATTCGAAGAGTGTAGCACAATTGCGCATAGTATCCTGCTCCTCCTGTGGTAGCATTGTAGACCAAAAGTGGAGCCAGTAGTAAGACATGAAGATAACCTGCATAGGGTTAGATAATTGTTTACCATTAAAAACTTTATCATTGCGACAACGCCAAATTGACCAACATACAGCACTAGCTCCAATTAGAATCATCTTCTTAATGGACCTAGATACCCCTCTAAGCCAATTAACGAAAATATTTTTGGCGTTACGGGGTAGGGGGATATTAAAAGCAAAAAACCCACATCTCCAAACAAACTGAGTGAAATGACACTCAAAGAAAAGATATTGGATTGTCTCTTGTGCATAGCAGAAAGAACAATGTTTGTCTCTCCCCAATTTTCTTTTAGCCGGGTTATTTTTCGTTAGAATTACTTTCTTATGAAGAAACCACGTGAAGACCTTAATCTTTAGCTAGGAGTAGTAGCTAGAGGAACATATCTATCTTAGTATAATATATATACAGTGCCACTGGCAATATAGAGCTAGTTGTGCGTATATACCAAGCTTATTGCGATGCAGCACACAGCACAAACCGCTTACATGTGTATATATAGGGCACTTAAATTAATAGTTAGTCGGAGGCATGCATGTATCACTGTCAGTTAATTGGAGGCTGACTAGGCCTAGCTCGATCGATCGATCCACTTTTTATATTGTCATTCATTAGCCAGCTAGGTTAAGCTTTGTGATAGTTGACACTACCTAGTTAGCTAGAGCTACTGCTCCACTGTCACAAAGACAAATCGTTTTTGACAGGAGACCGTCGTCATTAAGGTGGTGTTTAGATCAAGGGACTTAACTTTAGTCCCTGTCTTTAGACACTAATTTAGAGTATTAAATATAGACTACTTACAAAACTAATTACATAAATAAAAGCTAATTCACGAGATAAATTTTTTAAGCCTAATTAATCTATAATTAGAGAATGTTTACTGTAGCATCACATAGGCTAATCATGGATTAATTAGGCTCATTAGATTCGTCTCGCAAATTAGTCCAAGATTATGGATGGGTTTTATTAATAGTCTACGTTTAATATTTATAATTAATTTTTAAACATCCGATGTGATAGGGACTTAAAAGTTTTAGTCCCATCTAAACAGGGCCTAAGATACAACATCATCCCCCACCAATTATTCTTTTTATTTTATTCACGAATGCGAAAAAAAATTGCACGTCAATATATTAGAGAAGAAATCAGAGATTTGATTAGGGGCAATTGTATCTGTGCCCCCGCTTTCGAAGCCAATTGCTATTTTACCCTTATTTTTTAGGGTTTACAGTTTTACCCTTACTTTTTGAATCTGAAGCAGCCGTGTACCCCTGTTTCAAACAGCAGGTTCTAACGGTGTTAGTTGTAGAGAAAATGACATTTATACCCTTAGTGGTTATAGCATTTTTGCCCCCATTTTTTTCAACTGTGTATGATTTTGCCCCCTATTTTGTGACTTTAGCTTGTAAATAATTCAAATATGAGCATCTCTTGTGATGTTTTTGTATTTTAACCAAAAAAATCACAAATACTAGACAATTACGAAATATGACCAAAATTTGAATAAAATTTCGACAACATTTTAATAGAATTTTGACACAAACTAGCCTCAGCCAAATTAATTCAATCTGAAGCGAAAACAAAACCAAATCAAAGCTAAAATATCACACGCTGAAATTAATTCCGGACATCATAAATCTTCAACCAGCCGCCTTCCATCCACCCCAATCGCCACGTCTAACTCCACAATTATGCAGTAAACTCCTGAAGTGCAAAACCACCAGTAGCATCATCCTGAACTGGAACTTTATGAGCGGAAAAGAAGCACTTGGCCAGCTCGGAGATGCCAGCGACGTCGTCGAGCGCTAGCTGCTCGTCCTCCGCCGCTGGGAGGCGGCCGTCCGGCGCCGCTGCCGGCGCAGCGTTGCCCGGCATGAGCGCGCGAAGGTGGTGCGAAACCGGTCGCCCTCGCCGCCGCCGCGACGGCCGCCGGCTACTCCGCGCGCCTGGGAGCGGCCGTTGCCGCCGCCTGGCTACTGCCCCGTCGGAGCGCCGCGCGAGCCCCCGTCCTTGCAGCCGCTGCCGCGCCGCGCGCACGCCCTCGCCGCTGCTGCCCTGCCACGCGCCGCCGATAGGTTTCGGGTTGGGAGGAGAGGGATTCAATCTCCAATTCTCTATCCATTCACTGAGGGGTACAAAGGTAAATTCATATTTCATGAAATCTTTTTTTTATTTTCTTTTGTATTTCTTTAACCCAAAATGCGGGACCCACCTAACGGATGTTAGAAGTGAGGGCATACGGCTGGTTCAGATTTAAAAAGTGGGGTAATACTGCAAACCCTAACAAATAAGGGTAAAACAGTAGTTAAGTTTGAAAGTGGGGGCATAGATGCAATTATCCCTTTTGATTACACAACGTAAACGACCAGAAAACCATTGCCAGGGGACAAGAAGAAAATTGGAAAGGAAAAGACTGTAAAAGGAAGAAAAACCCTCCTTAAAGAAAAAAAAACTCCTATTAATTATTTTTTTACATACCACTATCTTATAATCCTCATAAAATTTTAGTGTAGCAGAAATTAATTTCAGAGAAACGTATTTATCCATGTGATTTTTACGCATGTCCAATTTAACTATTCCTTCTGTTTCAAATCATTCTAGATCTATATACTGAATCAAACGTTCTAATTTGTATCATCAATAATTTCTTAAAACTCAAATAGTTTAGTGTCATGAGAAATATTTCATGATATATAATTTACTTGTTGAACTACATGGATTTCTAAAAATTGATGGTCAAAAGATAAAGATAAGACGTGTGATTTAGGACAAATGTAAAATGTGAAACGGATGGAGTACTTAAAAAGATGAATATTAATATGTAAATAAGAGTTCTTACTAGTTCTTAAGAAAATAATGTTGACAAAATGTGACCACACACTCACGTCCAAAAACACACACAGAAATGATTGTGATAAAGAGAAAGGCGCCATGGATACACACAGCACTTCTTTGTTGGAAGCTAGCGAAGCAAATGGATATGGACACCTCAACGAACTGACCCGTACGCCCGCACGTAGTACGGGGATTTTTTTTAACTTTTAATTTTATTTATTAAAATATATAAAAATAGTTTTTTGGTTTTAAAGTATTACAAATCAACCCCTTACCGTTCTTTAGGAGTTTTTTTCCAAAAAAAAAGCGCCCTCCAAATAATTTTTTTTATAACGTGACACATGTCCATTGATATATTGTAATGGTCATGAGGAAGAAAAGTGGCACTTCACGGGCAACCCCCACCCTCTAAAATAGCGACCTACAATATTTTGCAGACGGTCTCCTTATAGCCCTCTAGGATGACGTTAAGGGGTTGCCTATAAATGGCTAACCCTGATTATTTTACAGGCGAATCGCTTGTAGCCTTCCGAGAGAGCGAGAAGGGGGTTGCCAACAAAATGGTCGACCACTCTTCATGCGGCGGTTAGCATGAGCCAATAACCGTGTGCCACGTTATTTTTTAAAAACGCACTCCCAAAAAGCGTTAGGGTTGTAGATTTTTAAAACTTTGAAACCAAAAGTTATTTGTTTAAAATATTTTAATAAGTAAAAACAAAAAAATTTAAAGAATTCCGTAGCACTGTAGCCCATTTTTGATATGGCCAAGGCCCACATAGCAACGCATATGCATCATTCATGGGCCTCCATTTCTAGTGGGTTTCATGGGCTTCTCTTTTTTTCCTCGGCCGAAGGCGAAGCGTTCTTTTCCCCTTTGGGACGCGGGATTCCCTCGCCGCCGCCGCCGCCGCCGCCGCCGCCGCCGCAGTGACCACCTCGCTCGCCGGCGGACTCGATTGGCTCACCGGCGGCGACGGAGGAGGAGGAGGCATCTGCGGCGTTCGGCGCGACCCCGGAGATGGAGGGGTTCCTCTGCGACCGCCTGCTCGACGCGGCGCAGCCCATCGCCGAGCGCTTCCGGGCGCTCTTCTCCCTCCGCAACCTCCGCGGCGACGCCCCTCGCCGCGCCCTCCTCCAAGGTCTCCCCCTCGTCGGCTCACCCGCTTACTTGTCTCCTTATGCAGCAGCTTTGGTTTCCACCGTGATATGATTCAAGGTCTCAGTAGCTTGCCGACTTGGTGTCAGTACTCAGCGATCGACGACGTAGCATAGTTAGCTGCCATCTTTCTTCTAATTTGCTTTCGTTGATCGAGCTAGTTTGATGCGATTCGAGGTTGTGAAGATGCAATTAGCTGTCTGTGTGCTGGTAGACTGGTAGCATTTCTTCGGTATATGGTGGCAAGTATTACTGTCATGCCTTGTAGTTTGGTACCAAATTCCCAATTCAGTAATCCATCTCGCATTCTTGCTCAGGCGTTGATCTGACAAAGTTACTTTATATTTCCTTTCTTGTACTAGTTAATTCTGTGCTAATTTATGCTCTCTTATGATTTATGAATCATCCTTGAAGTCTGAAAACAGTGTTTAACATTGAACTGAGAATGATTGTTTATGTTTCTACTGTCATATAGAGCTGTTAGATCCAATTGCCTGTCAATGTTTTGTTAATGAACGGGCTTAAGAATACCTGATGTGTTTGCTGCAATGCTCAGCTGCAAGGGACTCTTCAAACTTGCTTGCCCATGAGGCTGCATTTGCACTAGGACAAATGCAAGATGCTGAGGCTATCCCTGCATTAGAGGCAGTTCTCAAAGATCTTTCACTTCATCCAATTGTCCGACACGAGGTAATTGCTACGACGGACTAATGCCATCTTCTGCTTATAGTGATTTACTTTCAATTTTGAGAAGCTTTGTATGTTTATTCATTCATTAGGCTGCGGAAGCGCTTGGAGCTATTGGCCTGGAAAAGAGCATTTCCCTGCTGGAGGAGAGTTTAGCTGTTGATCCTGCCGTGGAAGTTCAAGAAACATGTGAGCTGGCTATTAGACGGATAGAAGAGCAAAAGAATACTAGTGGAGTTGAAAGTGCAACTGTTTCACCTTTTCTCTCAGTTGATCCAGCACTGCCTGCAAAGCAAGGACTTCCAGTAGAACAACTAAGGCATGTCGTTCAACACAGTCCTACATGTCTTCATTGTGCTTTGTGTGTATTATCATGCTACTAATAGCATGGTTATTAATTTTCAGGGAGCTTCTTCTCAACGAGCAAGAAAGCATGTATGAACGTTATGCAGCTCTCTTTGCACTAAGGAATGACAGTGGAGATGCTGCTGTTTCTGCTATTGTTGCTGCTCTAGGCGTCAAAAGTGCTCTTCTACGCCACGAGGTTTGCTTGAAGCCTTGAACTTCGATAATCGCTGTTGCATCTTTGTCCACAAGCATAAGTTATGCAGATCCTTACATCTCTTGTTATGATACAGAAAGGACATTAGCAAAGCAAAATTATCCAGTTACACCTACTCAGTTTTGTAGTAATTAGGATACCCAATAAATTGTTTTCTGTAAGAAACTAGGGGTGGAGCTTCATCCAAATAAGGTAGAGAAAAAGGCAACATATCAGGATAGGTTTGGTGGCATGATGTATTTCATGAGACAGCTGAATATTCTAGAGTGCACATTTCTTGATCTATTCATGATAGCACCATCTCTAAAGATCAATCTATTCTTTTTATTGAGATAATCAACAACCTTTTTCATATTGTTACTGTTATTTATGTTGTCATTGTGTTCTCCACTGTAATCATTTTTTCTTCTGTAATGTTTTGCAGGTTGCTTATGTGTTAGGCCAGCTACAAAACAAAGCTGCTTCAGATGCACTTTCCACTGTCCTGAAGAATGTTGATGAGCATCCAATGGTCAGGCATGAAGCTGCTGAGGCCCTTGGTTCAATTGCAGGTAACTAATACGATAAGATTTGATTTCATCAGTCTCTCATCAACCATGGATATATGTCAAAGCTTTGTGAGAATATGTCCAATGCTGTCCTGCAGATCAGGAAAGCATTGCACTTCTGGAGGAGTTTGCAAAGGACCCTGAGCCAATAGTCTCCCAGAGCTGCGAAGTAGCACTCAGCATGCTTGAATATGAGAGATCAGGGAAGGCCTTTGAGGTACATACATACACGCCAGGCCTAGATCAAACAGAAAAGCATTTGTAACTAGCTTTGTGGCATTGTCTAACACATTGTGCTGTGTTGTTCCATTCCATGCAGTTTTTGTTCCCGCAGACTCCTCAGGTGCAGCAGGAGTCCTAAGTGAGTTGTGAAAGTGTGAACTGAGAGCGAGAGGCAGGCTGGAATGTGTCTAATCCTGTAATCCAAACCTTATACCAGTCTACCTTGAATTGATATGTTCGTCAAAAGGATTTACTGATCAATCTCTGGGCTCTCATTCTAGGAAGAAAAGAGAATGTGTTTTCTTTGAGTACCAACTAGACTAGGTGCTTAATGATCCTATTAACGCATTGTTTTTTTTTAATCTTGCACATATATTTCGTTATTAAAATGAGTAGTACAAGATATAAGTGGGATAATGCACATAATACCACGATGCTGATTAATTGTCTGCAGTTGAACACTACAGTGCCACTGCACATGATGTCATACCACCGCAGCAATGCAGCATATGCAATATAAATAATCTAGCTTATCTTTTGACTGTTAACACAGGAATTAATGAAGAACTAAAGGGTGTGTGCACTTTATTACCATTTGCAACTCTACTAAATTTTAATAAGATAACTGATCTTACTGATACTATTCTTCCAAATTTGGTAGTTTTGAAAGTTTCTCCTAATAAAAACATTACCAACATTTCTTTTTTTAAAAAACAAACTAAACACATCCAATGCAACCAAAATTTAGTAACACCAAAACATGTCAAAATTTAGCATTAATAAATTTTGGTAAGGTTAATTTTGGGAACAAAGTGACACAAGCCCTAACAAAGAGTGTGTTATGATCACAATTCAGGAGAAGAGATATGTGTATATATCAAAATCAAAACTGTGACCAGGTAAAACACTGGTCATCAAGCATGAAGTATTTACACCGTCAAAGCACTCTCATAGAACCAGTATACAACCTCAACTTGAGGTGCAAAACCATGCAAAAATCTGATGGCACACGAATGCGCAAGCATAATGTCAGCAACCAGTTGGTACTCACTTCTGCCAACTGGTAATACAGCAGTCAAACCAGGGAGAACTCAATGCATGCGATGTGAAATCACTGGGTAAAAATCACCTAAATGCTATGAGAGGCCAAGTAAGATCAGTACTCCAATAGCAATTGGTGGAACCTAATGCGTCATCAGATGCTTGACGAGGTACCCGAGCACAGCAAAGATCACTGCCGCAACGAGCAGCGCCACGACAGAATGATACGGCCCCCCAGCACCAGCGGCAACTGCAAGGAGGAGTAGTGTTAGTGTCAGCACTCAGAAGATTAATCCGGCCTAGTACCCTACTGATTGTATACTTGCAAATGACTTAACCATTATTACTCCATTGATCATATGAAAAATCAAGAACAGTGTTAAATTACACGCAAGAAGTTCCAAGAACACAAGTATGACATCTATCAAGAACAATACAGCAGAAAATGATGTAATCGAAGATCAAGAACAATACAGCAGAAGATGATGAAATAGAATTGATGCCCCTCTCTCAATGCAAGAACTCACCTCGGAGAGTGTCGACGGGGAGGACGGCAGCTGAGGCGTTCCCCAACGGCGGGAGCCACGAGAGCTCAGAAGCGTAGGCGTCGCCGTCCTCACCTACCAAGTTCCTCCAGGCCTGTAAATCTGCAGGTAGCGAGGAATCAGGCATTCAATTGTTTCTACGAGAAGCAGCGCAGTAGTTGTTTCGCAAGAACATGAGCATTTTATAGTATTTCGCAATAAAATCAAGAACAGAGGGCACTCGATATGTCGCAAGAAAACCAAGAACCAGAGCATTTGATATTTCGCAAGAAAACCAAGAACCAGAGGGCACTCGATATGTCGCAAGAAAATCAAGAAGGAGAGGGCCAAGAATTAGGAACCTGAGGGACATGGGCATGGGCACCGCATATCGGCGTCGGCGTCGTAGGTGTGCGAGGCCGGCGATGGAAGTGATGGTGGTGGCTGCTGCCGGAACAAGGGAACTAAGTAGTTGACGCAAAGCTTGGCGGCGCCGTAGAGGAAGACGGCCCAAACGATGATGCTGAGCAGCGTGAAGAGCACGGTCGTGAGGCATGTAGATGAGAACACATCGTCGTCGTCGCCGCCGCCGCGCTCCATATAGTCGCCGACGACGATGTCGGTCTCCTCCTCCTCGCCGCCGTGGCCGGCGCCCGTCCCCTGCTCGTCGTCGGGCTCACGCGGGGGCACGACCTCAACCGCGAGCGCAACCCCGCCTCTGTCCTCCGCCGGGTGCAGAGCTCTCTCCCGCTCTGGATGCAGAGCGTCGCCGCCGCCGCCGCCGCCGCCTGCAGCCAGCGCCACCACGGAGTGGACGACGTCGACGGGTATGTCGAGAAACACCTCCTCATCGAGCTCGAACTCGTCCTCCGCCATGGGGAACGGAACGGAGGCGGTGATGAAGGATGGTGGTGGGAGGGGGAGGGGGAGGTGGGGATCGAGTGGAGAGCTTTGAGGTGGTGGTCGGGGTGGAGGAAGAAAGGGGGGAACTCGGCGGCTGGGGCGCTGCTTATATAGGCGGTTGGGAGCGTAACGCTTCTTCTTCTTCTTCTTGGCGGTCTTCTTCTCCACCGCAGGCGGCGGTCGGAGAGACATGGTGTGTTCGGTCCGAGTCGGCGACCATTGACCACCGACGCGCAACTCCGGTCGTCGGGGAATAGCCACTCCGGCGAGGCCCGGGCCCGGAGCTTCACCGGAACCCCGCCGCCTCCGGCGATGCGCAACCCACCCCTGTGGCACGCGGCCCACGCCATGGAAGTGGCGACTGAGATCGAGGAGAAGAGACTACTCCGTACTATGTCTATGTATCATCACCACTGGACCCCCATACACCGGCACCGGTCCATGGGCCATGGACTCACTCACCCCGACTTCCTGTTCTTTTCGGTTTACTTTTTGCAAGTATTTTTCATAAAAAAAAGTTGTTATAAATATACATATTAATCCATTTTCAACTTTTAACTAATATACTTAATTAATTATGTACTAATGAATTTAATTAACCATATACTTAATTAATACATACTCCTCCATCATATAATATAAGAAATTTTGGTTGAACGAGACACATCCTAGTAATACGAATCTAGATAAGGAGCCTATCAAGATTCATAGTACTATGATGTGCTCCATCTACCTGAACTTACTTATATTTTGAGACGGATAGAGTAATTAACAAACATAGTCTAAGATGGGCTTAGACCCTGTTTGGAGAGCTTAAAATTCTGAGAAGAATCTGGTTAGAATCTAAAAAGTTGGCAAACCCAGATTTTTGACTTATAATTCATTTTCTGGATTTTACGAGAAGCTGCAACTACCCGGACCTTCCCAAACATGCCCTTAGTCCACCATGAGCTGTGGATCAAAATTCAAATTCTCTCTCTCTCTCTCTTCCACTAGAAGTGGGCTCCACCCATCAGACCAAATACTCCTTTACACTCCTTTTAAATTTGGAAAACTCTTTTCTTTCTTGCAAAAGTTCATTTAAACTTGTAAAATCCATATATTCCTAGCCACAACTCTGATTGACTCCGTTTAGCTATTTGAATTACCCTTGAAGAAAATATCTACCTAACGACGCTATTGGTTTCTTTTTTTTAAAATAATCACTGGGGGAGGGGGGGGACGGACTTTCCCCACCTGAATTTCATTAAGGAAATAGAAGAACTGGGACTACAAGAGATTAGTGGTTTCTTACATAGGAAGAGAGAAGATCTTTCCACACTGAAACAACTACCATATCTTCTCTACGAAGACGCTCAGCCCAGAGAGTAGCATCTTCCACACATTTTACAACCATTCGAGAGAGGGATTTAGGGAGATAACCAAAAACAACATCATGCTTGTGAATCCATAAACCCCAAAAGCAAAGTAAGTAAAAGACTTGAAAGTGCTTATCAGGACAACAATTTTACGGTCCTTGAGAAGATATGTGTGTCCAACGCATGAGTGCAACGGAGCAAATTTTTCTTTGAGCGGTAAGGAATCACGCCAGCAATCAGATCAAAAGGAAGTGCGGGCAGGGTTTCCCAAACTGCCAGGGCCGGGGTTACCGGTCTCCGGCGGTAAGCACGGTTACCGTGGTAACCGTGAAAAATCGTATAAAACCGTGCAAAATTTATCAAAATTTTAAATTATTTTTTAAATTTATTTGAATTTAAGGAGGTTACCGCGGTATTTATATTAAAAAGAAGTCATAGTACTCCGATCCCTTTATATATGATAACCAAAACATCATTACTCAAAACTAAACTCGTGTCTTTCACATATATTACAATGTACGTAGGCTTTTAACCTGATGTGATGAGATCAGAGGCCAAAGGCAGCAACATGACCAGTGTTTCTACCTTCAACGAGGTTATGGATGACGGTCACAGCAAGCATGATCGCAGGGCCAGAGCCACCCAAACCCATGAAACCAGCCAACAGATTCAGTAAACCAACACAAATTCCAACGATATATGCTGCCATGGTCATGTAGTGCCTGCATCGCCTGGGACTAATCGACTCGTCCTCGTCATGCTCCTGCAGCAGCTGCTCAGGCGACACTCTTGTTCGTTGCGTCTTCTGCAATAAAATTCAATATATCTATATATAAACGTACGATTTATATATAACTAGTTAATTGATCAAACAATATGAACATACTCAATTCGTCCTATTAAAAACTAACCTAATATTAGATATGACACATCCTAGTACTATGAATTTGTTCAGAGTTTTAGATTTATTTTTTTTCTTTAGACGGAAGGAGTAGACTGGTACTTACCTTTAGAAGCCTGACGAGGTATCTTTTTGAACGTGAGCAAACTCTGAACCAAAATACCGAGAGAAGAGCATATCCCAAAACCACGAACGCAACATAAAGAAAAGAATGGACCGGGTCTATCACAATGTCATCCAGGCTTCAATTCATCATGCAGCAAAAAGAAAACAGGTCATAAGACAGGTTAGTTATACATATATGTAGCTCAAATAAAATTATAAATTGAGTCCTGCCTAGCTTAGTTACTGCCTCCGTGTTTTTTTATCAATAAATATTTAGGAGAGGAGGTAGTGTATACTAGTAGTTTCAATGGAAATGGATGAACAAGTAATTAAAGCTAGAAGAAAGAATAAAAATGAGGGATACATACGTTAGTGGCGTTGTTATGTAAGAGGCGATCCCACTGACAGGCCAGTAGTGCCCAGGATACTGCCTCATTTCCTTCCAAATGCCAAGCATGTTCACCACTTTATTCGTCTCGCCATACTTGATGCTAAGCATCTGCATACATATATGAACAAAGTAAACAAACCAATTAATTAATTAAACAACGGTTAACAGCACAACACGATCAACAAATTAATCGCTCTGTATCCATTATCTTAAAAAAGAAAATGTATGTAGCTACCTGTGAGATTGAAGAGAAGGGAAAGGAGAGGAGTGCAGGTTGCAAGATGATGGGAGCGTAGGCCAGGTAGGAGACGCTGATGGTGTGTGTGATTCGCAGCGTTGGATCAGCCGGCGACCTCACCGGCGGCAAGGTGATGTGATGGTCTCCCAGTATTATCAACACTAACAAAAAGAAGGCCAAAGTAGCAAGCATCATCATCCAGGGGTATGCATGGTTCAAGGCCTTCCAGAAAATACATGCACTGCAAACATTTAATCCAATAATACATATTATTAGCTATATATAGTGTACTAGTAATCAATCATTCGAGCTAGTAATTATTACTCCCTCAGTTTTAAAACGCAAGATATGTTAGTTCTTTATAAGTTAAAAGTTTGACTAAATTTATAAAAAAAAATATAATATACATTACACGAAATTAATTTTGTTAAATTCATCATTAAATATATTTTTATAATATACTCCCTCCATCCTAAAATGTTTGACGCCATTGACTTTTTTTAAAATGTTTGACCGTTCATCTTATTTAAAAAATTTAAGTAATTATTAATTCTTTTTCTATCATTTGATTTATTTTAAATATACTTTTATGTATACATATAGTTTTACACATTTCACAAAATCTTTTGAATAAGACAAACGGTCAAACATGTTTAAAAAAAGTTAACGGCATCAAACATTTAGAGAAGGAGGGAGTATGATTGATGTTAAAAATTAATGTTATTATATTTTTTATAAACTTAGATAAATTTGAGGTTTGATTCGGGATAAAACTAAAACACTTTACTTAGGCTTAGGCTGATATAATGAAATAAATAAATAAATAAATAAATATATATATATATATATATCCTAATGAGAAATTCTTACCAGCAATTGGCGGCCGAGAACAAGGAGAGACCGGACAAGAATCCATAACCCTTTCGAAGGAGGTCGTCCAGATAAATGGCAATGAGACCACCGGCGATTAGTTGAAACACGAACACGAGTGCAGCTGTAGTAATAAATGGCGTGCCTCCTGCAATGGCGGAGGCATATAGAACAATGGCAACAGGCGACACGATGGCTATCTGCATCGCAAACAACCTCCGTGTCCTCTCCCTGAATCGATCGATCCAAGATTATTATTATTATTCAGACTTAATTAAGTTAGACCATGCATGCATGTGGATGAATTTGTGGTTTTAGTTTTTGGTAATATATATGAATTAGTGATCATCGATCGAATATATACGAGTAAAGAAGCTAAAGTTGTCAAATTAATAGTTTTGATAAAAGTAGCTACAGTTTTCTAGAATATACCCTTAATGTCATCTTAGCATAAAAAAGACATTTAGAGCACCCATAATGGTTATCTATAAGCTCTATACAAGAGATCCATGTCAGCATATTTTCTTACTTGAAAGAGATTAAATGAAAAGAGAGAGAGTAAAGCTATCTACTAACCTGGAGATAGTCTACAGAGAAAAACGAGGCAATGCATTAGAGAGCTATAGATACACATGTAGACATACTATTGAGGTGTTTTACTATTAATCTAGTCTTTTGCTGAGATGTACATGTTTTATAGAGAGCACCTTACTTTACCATTGCGGGTGCTCTTAGAACAGTACATAATGCATTAACTCAAGAGGTGATATATAATTTTTTTTTTGCTTAAAAGCAGAACATCAAAGCTCGAATAGTACGCATTAATCAAACGTCTATTATTTAACAACGGAGTTATTATTAATAAGTACTCCCTTTATTTTATTTTTATATTATAAATTACTTTGACTTTGACTTTTTTTCTAGTTATAAACTTTTTTAAGTTTGATTAAGTTCTTATAAAAGAATTTAGTAACATGCATATACAACACCAACACCAAATTAGTTTGCTTACTTAAATATAGCATTGAATATATTTTGATAATACATTTATTTTAGGTTGAAAATATTATTATATATGTTTCTTTATATATACTCACTTAGAAAAAAAAATCAAAATTACTTATAATATAAAAAACGGAGACTGAGATATTACAGGCGGCGGCGATGGTCGGGGAGCCTGTCGTCGTGGACGCCGATGATCTTGAGCGCCATGCAGAGGTGGACGACCATCTCCGAGTAGAGAAGAGGGACCAACCCGAGCGCCATCACCGTAGGCCGCAATGACGCCGACATGGCGTTCATCCAGTATCGCGGGTCGTGCTCGCCGCCGCCGTAGTAGTTTTGGACCCCGTAGAGCAGCAGCTCGCCGGCGACGAGGAAGACGAGCAGCGACACCGCCGTGTAGAGCACCTTCCGCCGGAAAGAGACCGCCATGACGCCGCCGGCGTTCGTGCTGCTGTCTTCTACCTCCGGCAACAGCCTCGCCAATAATCTAGCAGAAGCAACCGCTGCTGCTAC